CAGCTCCCCTTCGAATAGCGCGTTTTGTAACAACTGCCTCATAACAATCCTTCAATTCCATATTGATGATCGAACCCAAGAGAACCGTACAGATTCTTCGCAAAGTTCAAAATGCAGAAAAGCTCAAACAGGGATTGAACCCGGGTCAAACCAAATGTCTTCAGTAATATCTGTAAAGATGCGTTTGCGACGGTGAGTTGGAAATGGGTACCAAGATGACTTTATAGGGGGTCAGTTCTTGTATAGCAACCGGCCCCAGGACCTTCGATTTCCAGTCACTTTGTCAATGGTGGTACGATTTACAACCTGGTTAAATCGAATCCGAGCAAGACGAATGTACCTCAGTAAAGCATCCCTTTCAGTACAGCCAGACCATTAAATTCATTAAATCAGAGATATGGAATGGCATGGAATCGCATGGCACGGCACGGTACGGTAGGATGTGGTACGGTATGGTATGGTATGATAATAATATGATATGGTATGGTTTGGTATGGTATGGTATGATAATAATATGGTATGGTACGGTTTGTATGGTATGGTATGATTATAATATGGTATGGTTTGGTATGGTATGGTATGACGGTATGATACGGCATGATATATCGCCTTTTGAATAACACAGAATTATAGCTCTATAAGAGTTGCGGCGTCTCAACTAAGCCTATGACTCCGACTGCTCTACGTCAAGTGCTTTTCACAGGATGGCTCTCATACGTAGGACAATGGAAGTTCCGAGGCTAAAGTTTATAGCAAAGAACTGGCAAATACTCTAATGTAGTGAGCATACTAACATGCAGGAACGCATGTGATGACTTTTATATAGTTTGCAGAAGCTAATGAAAGCATACACAGATTTCTTTCAAGAAGGATGCGTATAGTTTATATGTCTCTGTATTTTGTTTGTCGTTATCGTAGGTTATGCTATAATGCTACAGGAAACATTCAAAGCCTTATCTATCTATCTATCTATCTATCTATCTATCTATCTATCTATCTATCTATCTATCTGCATACACACACGCACACACACACACACATACACAAACTTGGCTATGGGCACAAATACACGCACATATGCACACAAGCACGCTCGCATACACACACTTACACAAACACACACGCACACACACACACACACACAGGCATACACATACACTGACGCACGCGTCGCACCATTCATGCCTCTGCTTTTTCTACTATATTTCTTCCTCTGTTTACAAGTTTCGCCTGACGATCTTCCTTCTTCCGTTTTCTTCATGGACTCGAACCAGGTCCTTGTTATTAAGCAGCAGGTACACTTACACACACACACACACATTTTATTGACATTGGTTTAACCTTTCGAGACCTTATCAAACATCGATACAAAGTCAAGGCAACCCGAGATCCCTGGTCTCCCACAGCCTAGATTAATGAAACTCAAATGTGTTTTAAAAACTGATCTTTAGAGCAGAATATTTTGTTTGAACTGAACCTGCAAGCGAAAGCAAATTATTCACAAAAACACCTCAATAAAATTAATCTTTCTATGCAGTATCAACACGATTTGGATAACTAAGAAAGCGGGGTGCTTTGACACTGACTGAAAAATTAGGCCGATCCTGTGTTAGATCCCATATTCATGCAGAAAGAAGGAGAACCATTATAAAAATTAAAATTATAACGTCTACCAGACAGGCAATGACAAAAGCAACAACATAATGGCATAACTGTGACAGTTATCCCTCCCCCCCCCCCTGAAGAAAAACGTTTCAAAGGAAAAAAGTTTCTCTCGTTGAAACTACAACACACGTTTTAAAAAATCAGCAAGAGGAACGTTGTTGTAACAACTACTCTTTGAAAAAAGTACAAAATTAAATGAAAAAAGAACACAGTCCCACAAAAAGAAAAATATTGAATTACATGTACTTCATCCGTCCTGGGTTCTTGACAGCAATTTCTAGAGTCGAAAAAGAAGGACAATTACGTAGCCGCACTATGTCAGGTAGTTGAGAACCGAACCGAAGATGTGTGTGTGTGTGTGTGTGTATGTGTGTGTGTGTGTGTGTGTGTGTGTGTGTGTGTGTGTGTGTGTGTGTGGGGGGGTCGGTCTAAATTACGGGGAGAAAGCTGAGCATTGTTATCAGACCGCAAAGCAATCGATGTGAAGCTTGCGGGTCGAGAGAACACTTAAATCATAATGTAAAAACTGGATAATTTTCAAGATGTTATACATTTTCCCAGTTAGTTTTAACGTTTTACCCCAACATAATAACATATATTCAGTCAAGGTGATTTAGAAGGACGGCCACCTCGACCCTGTCTATCGAGCCAATCGGTTTGTGACTACATCCAAGTAGAGCATTGAAGATTCTCCGTATAATGTTTTCTTTAAGTGAAACGCCAACTCAGAATTTGTAAAGGGCAGAAAAGGAAAGAGTTAGCCAATACACACGTGAAGTTAAAGACCCATATTTCAGACATTACAAAAGGAAAGAGAAAGTGAAGCTAAGCTGAAAAGGGAATACGCTCAATGGAAAGGATATCAAACCAGTGACACAGCCTTGTTTGCTGAAGACATAACACAACGGAACACGAACTGGCACAAAGAACTGTAAAATTCTTCTCAGGAACTGCAAGATTTTACTCGAGTGACTTAACAGAAGTATACATTGCAACCTTCGTGGACATTTCAGGATAGATACTAGCTTTAAAGGAACGCATGTGCAAAACCCATCTTACTTCATGCGATACCCATAAAGATGTAAGGTTTCTGCGCAAACTGGTGCGTTGACCTTCGGTGATAATTACTTCTCTGGTCAGTTCAATGCCCGCCAATCCCCGGATAGGAGCTTATGATTCGAGACCCATGAGGTGACAATTACATAAAAACCTCGCTTAC